TAAAGAATTGGAACCACTCATGATATAAGCCTCTCTCCTGACAATGTGAATAATTTCCCCCAGCTGTCACCAGGGAGTGTTCCCTGAGTTCTTGTAAGCATTCAAGTCACTCAGGGGAGGCACAGCCACCTAAGCGAGGAGCCCTTTCTGCCTCTTGCCTCCCTCTTCCTTCTAGAGAGGCAAGCAAGAGGTCACCTCTCCAGTTCTCTTTCCCTCATTAACCACAAGAGTTCTGCAGCCCAAGTGGCCCAGCAGGCTCCCAGGAGGCGTGGAGAAGGCACTGCACACACAGCCGGCGAAGGCAGTGCTTTGCACCAGAAGATGACGAAGCTGTCCTGAGTGGACCCTCGCGCTGCAGCCTGAATCTCCTTGGCAGGGCTCTGGGCTTTCCATCCCCTGAAGCAGCGACTCCACTTGCACTATGGCTGTGACTGCCTCCACCCCCTCGGTGTGGGCGCCTCTGTCCCTGGGTCCACTGATGGCACCAGGACAGCCTCTTGGCGCTGTGGGCACACACTGATGTGGCGGCCATTGGCTGGGCTGCGTTAGGGGGGTCAAATTCGAGCCCGGACAGGGGAAGGGTTCACTCCGAGCAGGGGGCCAGCAGGGGCCTGGCAGAGTCAACCGTGCCGCCGCTGGGGGTGTGGGGCAGCAGCAGGGAGTGGAGCCACAGGGCACACGGGCCCAGCACTGGGGACTGCCAGCTCTTGGCCAAGGAAACACAGGGCCTTCCTGGGCTCAGGAAGGGGCCGAGAGGCCAGAGCAGAGCTGCTGTTTTCTGTCCCTCGCTGCCAGGTCCCCTCCGCCAGGCCCAGCCCAGCTTGCGTAGCCACGCGAGGGGGAAGAGGGACGTGTGTGGCGCATTGACCCCTCCAAGCCCCCTCTTGGGTCTGATGGGCTCCTCAAAGCCCATCCTTGAGTGAAACACTCACCTGCAAAAGGAGGCAGACCATGGGGACAAGCTTCTCCATATGATCCATCAGTATTGGGCCATGTTCTATGGATGTCAAAGCACCGTGCTGGGTGGGGACAGGACGGCTGGGCAGGGCCAAGGCCATCTCTGTGGCTCGCTGCAGCTTAGCCGAGGGGGCTGAGAAACCAACCCCTGACCCCTCCTCCCTCTCCCTGCCCGAGACAATGAACAGTGAACAATGAAATGTGTCATGTGTCTAGGGACAGCATGGACAAGAATAAAGCAGAGAAAGGGGCAGGGGGTGTGGGCAAGGGAGAGACTGTTACTCATGGTGGCTGGAGAAGCTCTTTTGTAGGTGGGATTTGACGGGAGACGTGAAGGAGGCGAGGGCCGGAGCTTGTCACAAGTCACTGGGAAGTTTGAACAGAGGAATGACGCAATCATTACCGGCCCTTCCCAGGGAGATTGACTGGAAAGGGAAGCTGGGGGGGGGGGGGTGGCAGCTAGAGGCAGAGGAGGTGGTGGCCTCATCCCACAGCAGGCTTGGAAGGCCTGTATCTGTGAGGGGTAAGTGAGGAAGGTGACAAGACCCCAGCATCTGAGCTTCCTTCCACCCCTTTGGAGCACCTGACAGCCTCCGGGAGCAGCCCCTGCATGGCTGCTGTTCAGGGTAAAGAATCTGGTGGCTGGAAAATGGAGGTGACTGAGGAGAGAGGGAGAGCAGCTCTTCCTGCTCCCGTCCTCAGCGCCTCCCCGTCTCAGGCCTGCACCCCCATGCAGTCCCGTGCTGTGTGCACGTGCACACGCAGACACGGGGCCACCGCCCTCGGTGCACGGGACAGCAAAGAAGACAGCAGTGGGATCGGTCCCCAGGGCTCCCTCGTAGCCTCGCCATCACCTGCTCTCCCCCGCCTCTCAAATGTTTTCCCTGTCGCAAACCCAGTGGACGTCACATCTCTTCTCTGACATCCACCTGCCCTTCAAGCAGGGACCTCAGGAGGCAAGAGTTGCAGACTGTGGGGCCGAGGCCTGGAGAGTTCCACAGTCTTCACATTCTGCAAGTTGTGCAAAGGCTGCTTCCTCTGCACTTTATATAGATGTGCTGTGCTGGGTTTTAAATTTGACACATTTCTATTTTTAAACTTCAAAAAAGCACAATCGAAAAAAAAGAAAGCAAGAAAGAAATGTAGTGAGTCATCTGCTAGAGGAAGGAGCGGTGCTCCCTGCTGGGAGGTGGGGTCAGGGGACATTGCAGGAGGCTGGCCAGGCTGTGTCCCGAGCACAGGGAGAGTGGGAACATGAGTGGAAAGAGTTGAGGCCAAGAGGTCCGGTGCTGAGGAGTCCCTGGGATAAGTGACTTTGTCCCCCGCGGTCCTTCCATCTGGCAAACCTCAAGCCTGCTGGAAAAGCAAAGGCATGTGCTGGTCAAAGGCACACCATCGTCAGCTCCATCTTGCTGGGTACGTGACCATTGTCAGCACCAGGAGCTTACAGACAGGGAACCCGAGGCTCAAGAGGGCTCGTGAATGCCATAAATTCGCCCATGTTAGTGGCAGATCAAGACAGAAGCTCATTTCCTGACTCCATGTTTACCTACATCTGCGCAAAGAACGTGGCATTTCTCTAACAAATTTAACTCGGAAAAAAGACTCATTTTCTTGGTTTACACGGGTTTGGATGGTAGCTATGAAGAGAAATTGAAGGGGAAGGGAGTGCTCGGCTTGGCGCGCAGGGATCAGAAAGGCTGGTCCAAATCGTGCTTGCAAGTGGGCTGCCAGCGGCTACACCCGCGACAGACCCGACTTGCTGGAAAGGGGGGGAGACGCTTGTGCAGCGCAGGGTGTCGGGCGGCTGAGTCCCTTAGCTGCTCCTAGTCCATTTCTCCAGCTGCATAGTGGGGACACTAGGCCCCGCTCCCCTCTCTCAAAGGGCCCATTTCCAGGTCAGACGAAATATGGCTCGTGCTTTGGAACCTGCAAAGCTCTTGATGAGTGTCTGCTGTCACATGGACACGGCCACCCTGAGACCGTGAGCAGGTGGTCAGCCTTGGACAGAATTGAAACACAGGCAGCATTTGGCCTTATGCCTTGCACATCGCTCTGGCCACCTCCTGGATCCCTGGCCCTGTCACCACCAGGTGCTGGGGGGCAGACAGGCCAGAATTCTGACCACCATGCTGCCGCCTAGAGCTGGGCACTCTTTGATTACACATAGTACCTTGCTGCCTCAGTTTCCTCCTCTGTGAAATGGGATGGGGATTATATAAACTGTCTTCATTTGGTGGTTCCAGACATTAACAAGATAACGTCATGCTAATGTTTATAAACCCTGGGCACACAGCAGAGGCTCAGTAGACAGTGGCTGCAGCCACTCCCTGCCACCCTGATAGTGGCACCCACCGAGATCTGTGGGCTCCTGGTCACCCGCAAGAGGAGCCCAGTGTGGTTCTGAAAGTGGGCTCTGGGTTCAAATGGGTGACTTCTGGGCCACCTGGCCATGCATGGGAAGTCACCCTTGGAGCTTCATTCCTCACAGGTCAAATGGGGCTAAGAGTGCTCACCGTGGAACGTTTGGGGGGACCATTGAGGATGCGTCCATTTTAAAGGAAGAGCGAGAGAGGTCTGTGAGCACTCGGGCCTGGCACACCCAGGAAAAGCCCGATTGCGGTGCCTGCCGAGGACATCTGGAGAGGTTGAGAGTGCTGCCCTGAGCTTCTCCCTCCCCCAAAGCAGGGCTCCGTGATGCAGAGCAAGGACAAAGCAAGGCGGACAGAGGCAGGTGGTGGCACTTTTGGGAAGAGAAGCAAAGAGCTTAAAAGGCTTTTCTTCATCTTTAACCTCTGAATTCCTTCTTCCTCTTGGCACTTGCCACCAAAGGGCCTGGTGTTGCAAAGGGGTCCGGAGCCGCTTCCCTCACTGGGGTGAAGCACGACTGCACTTATTAGGAGGGAGAGAGCCTGCGATGGGGGCCGCCACGGGGAGGCTGAGGAGCAGGCCTTGCCTTTTGTCTGGGCCACCAGGAACCCTCAGGACACATAGGTGGCCTAGCCCATGGGTGGCAACCACAGAAAGCTGGGGCCAGGGAACTGGCAGCAAACAGTGCCGCTTTGCTGCTCAGCAGCCTGAGAGCATGAGAGCCGCCTGGCGCCCCGGGTGGCTCGGGGCGCTGGTGCTGGCACTGGCCTGCCCGCTCCAAATCCTGGCACGCTGCCTCCCGCTCCCCCACCACTGGGCGCAGTGATAGCGCCTGTCCCCTGCATGCCTGCGGTGAGGATTGCATGCATTAATATTTTTAAAGTGCTTGGATACCACTTGGCACATAGCAAGTGCTAAATAAATGTTTAATTAAAAAAATAGATAGTGGGGAGAAGGCTCTTGGAAGCGAGCAAACATTCCATAAGTTCCTCTTTAAGAAGAGCCCTGAATGCCTTGTCCCCCGTCCTGTCATCCTGTCGCCAGCCTCCCTCCCCTGCTGGGGCCGAAGAAAGAAGTCCGAGGGCCTGGTTGCTCCCAGCCCTGCCGGGAGGGTTTGTATCTCACCAGTCACATGCGTCTTGGTGACAGCTCTAACCTGTGGAATTCTCAGCTTCTGAGCCAGACAGCATGCTGGGCAGGTGACAGGGAGAGAGGTGGGGGGTAAAAGCCCGCAACCTCCCCGCCTGCCATCTTTGCAGCCTAAGTGCAGGCTGGCACCGCTCAGACCTGTCTGCTCCCAGGACTCCAAAAGACAGGATCGCAGGAGTGGACAAATTCCTCAGCAATCTCTCCAGATGCTTCCAGCTGCACACCATAGGCTGCCTGGCCCACCAGTGGCTCCAACAGTAAAGACATCGATCATTCCAGGGAAGAAGCGTGGAGCTGGGACGGCACAGGGTTGCTTCAGTGGCTCAATAGCGTCATGAAGGACGCACACCCTTCCCATCTTTCTTCTCCATCAGAGAGGTGTGACGCTTTCTTGTCTCATGGCTGCAAGATGGCTGCCACAGCTCCAAGCATCACACCCTTAAAAGTTAACATCCCAACCAGGAAGGGAGGAGTGAGGCTTTCTGGGGCTTCTCTCTCTCTCTCTCTCTCTTTCTCTCGCCTGTTAGCCTCCATCAACCCATGCCAGGTGGGGAAGTCTTTCCCAGACACCCCCTGGAAGACTTTCCCTTACTTGTAACAACTAAGTCCCATGCCCATGTTAGTCTATCGCTGGCAAAGGCTATGAGGATCCACAGGACCAATATGGAACTACTGTGCTTCAAAATCTAGAACTACTGTGTGCCTGGGGAAAGGAGCCACCTTCTGAGACCTCACCTGCTAAACACCTGCACAAAACTCGGGTCCTGTTGGTGAGGGAGGAGGCGGCTGGCTGGGCAAGCTCGGGTCTGCCGGAAGCAGTAGCCTCCTAGGCCATCCTGTGGCCCTTCCACACTTCCCGAAGCTTCCTGTGCCTTGTCGAGGGCTCTCTGCATCAGTCCTGGGCTGGGAGAAGGCAGGCTAGGGTGCCTGGCAGCATGGGCAGGTCTAAGTGCCAACAAAAATATCCCCACACTGAAGCCAGATGGGGCACACGGGGACAGAGCACGTGGGGAAGGAAGAAGGCAAGACAGGGTGGCCCGAGCTGATGGAAATGAAGTAGAAGAGCCTGGTGAGGGGCATGGCGCACTACAAGCACTATAGAAGATGTCACCTGTGACATCTTCCCTAGAACTGCCACCTGCATCACTTATCTCCATGTACTTTTGAGGAACCTGAGCCCCGTCCATGCTCTGGGGACTGTAGCAGCTTCCCACCTCTGTCTGCACGTTCTCTGGCCATCAGGGCGTGTCCTTGGCAGGTCTCCCATGTGGCAAGGCGCTCCCTTGGGTTGAGGGCAGGCGGTGAGGTGGATTAAGGCCTGGAGAAACCTCTGTGGGGACATCCCCCTTCACCACCACGGGCCCGCCTTGCTGTGGCTGCGGAGCCGCAGTCTCTGTCACAGACAGGCCCCAGCAGGCCGCAAGTCCAGGGCAGGGAAGAGCCCAAGCAGGCACCGGGCACGTGGTGAGCGGCATTTCCCGAGCCCAGGTGACTTGGCAATAAGGCACCGATGGAGGGTTGGTTATCTGAGTTACGATCAGGAAATATTAGGGTTGGAACAGACCCCTCGGCCCCGAGCCCACCACTCACTTGATGCTTCGGAGCCTCTCAGAGCATTCCCCCATCGGCCAGGGTCTCCCTGCATAGATTACATCCGCCAGTCCCAGTTACGCCCCGGCCTCACCAAACATGGTGACCCGTTGTCATCAGATGCCTTCGCTCTGTGACACGCCTCGTGCTGTGCACTTCCCCTCGTGTATGCACTATGGCAAAAAGAAAGAATTTTTGAATGGTGGAAAACTAAGATGAAAAGGCCCCATAGAGTGTTAAGAGGAGTGAGAGGGAAAATGCCCACCTGGATGTGTCAGAGCAAAATTTGGGAATATGAAAGATGGAGAGCAAGTTCTCACAACTTAGATAAAGAACACAACATGTCACAGGCAAACGAGCGGGAATCTGACTGTGTTTTGCTAAAACTTGGGGGCTAGAAGACAATGGAATAATGTTTCCAAGTATTTCAAGAAAAGAACGTAACACCTAAAATTTCCTTTCCAAACTGTCATTGACACATGAGGGCCTGATAAAATATTCTCAAGTTCCACAGGCCTCAAAGGTTGGTCACATGAAGCCCTGTGCCGAAGTGAATTTAGAAGGCAGTTCTTAAATAAAAGAGATGTATGAATGAAAAGTGGCCAGTTGCCTTGGTAAAATTTCTTATTGTCTTCAAAGAGTAGCTAAGACCAAGGAAAAAGAACAAATATATTCATAATCACCCAGAAAGCATGAAAAGTTTAGGTAAAATCAGCAGGATAGAATTTGAGGGGGTGGTAGACACCGCAGGACGTGAAAGTTTGCTAATGTTCTTTTCATAGAAGGAGTGAGAAAGATATCAATTCAAAAAAAAAGTAAGTCAAGAAATATAAGGCCGGGCGCTGTGGCTCACGCCTGTAATCCTAGCTCTTGGGAGGCCGAGGCGGGCGGATTGCTCAAGGTCAGGAGTTCGAAACCAGCCTGAGCAAGAGCGAGACCCCGTCTCTACTATAAATAGAAAGAAATTAATTGGCCAACTGATATATATATATATAAAAAATTAGCCGGGCATGGTGGCGCATGCCTGTAGTCCCAGCTACCCGGGAGGCTGAGGCAGAAGGATCACTCGAGCCCAGGAGTTTGAGGTTGCTGTGAGCTAGGCTGACGCCACGGCACTCACTCTAGCCTGGGCAACAAAGCGAGACTCTGTCTCAAAAAAAAAAAAAAAAAAAAGAAATATAGAAACACAGAAAGCTCCGTCCTGAAGTCAGGATGGCATGTCTGTGTGTCTGTTTGTCACGCATTGGCTTGTAACATAACCCAAGTCTGTAACATACTGCAATGGTGTGTATCGCATGCTGCAAACGGGAAGGCTAAGGCACAGAAACACAAACTGGGGGACGGGCCACAGCACAGATGGAGACGTTCGGAATGAGCCACAGAGCGCCATGCTTACTATAATGACAATGGACCACGCTCACTTGCAAAAAGATGAATATTGACAGACTGGGTTAATATAGAAAGATGTGTGCTGTTTCTAAGCATAGGAACATGAAAGGTTGAAAGTAAAAGGATGAAAAAAGACCCGTCAGGCAAATGTGAACTGAAAGAGCTGCTATCATTGTGTCACTGTCAGGTACAATAGACTTCGGGACCAAAAGCGGTATTAAGGATGAAAAACGTAACAACATGATGATCAAAGATTAAATTCACCAAGAAGAAATTTCCATTTTAAACATGTGTGTACCCAATAAATAACTTCAAAATAAATGAAGGAAACATTGATAAAACTACAAGGAGAAATAGGTGAATCTATCGTCCTAGTGGGAGATTTCAGCATGTTCGTTTGCCTACTGAGAGCTCAAGCTGACCAAAATGTCATGCAGGACACAGAAGAGCCTAATGACACAATTAACAACCTTGATCTAATGGTCATATAGACAGGTCTGCACAAGAACTTGAGAATACACATTTGGACTCCCCAAGCATACTTGAAACATTAAAATTCTGAGTATTTACCAAGCCAGGAAGAAAGAATCAATTTTTAAAAATAAATATCATACAGACCACGATCTCTGCTCTTTAAAAAGGTAAATAATCCCAATATATTTGGAAAAATTTGTTTGAATTGCTAAATAATTCATAGAGTAAAGATAAAATCAAATGAAACTTTTAAAATATCCAGAAGTGAATGAAAATGAAAATGCTACATGTCAATACTTGTGAGATACAGAAGAAACAGTGATTTGAGGGAACTAACAGCCTAAATAATTATATTAGAAAAGAACACAGCCTTAACATTAATGGACCAGGTTTGCATTTTAAGAAATTAGGGGCTGGGCATGGTGGCTCATGCCTATAATCCCAGCACTCTTGGAGGCCAAGGTGGGAGGATCGCTTAAGGCCAGGAGTTGGAGGTTACAGTAAAATGAGCTGTAATTGGGCCACTGCACTCCAGCCTGGGTGACAAAGTGAGACTTTGTCTCTTAAAAAAAAAAAAAAAGAAAAAAGAGAGAGAGAAGGGAAAGGACATCAAAGATAATAAAAATGAGGGCAGATTATTGAAATAGAAAACAAAGATAAAAGACAGATCAACAAAGCCAAAGGTTAGTTCTTTGGGAGAAGTAACAAAATAGATAAATTTCTGTGAAGATTGTTCCAGAGAACAGAGAGGAAATAAAATATGAACGAAAGGGGAACATGACTACAGAAAAACTAGATGTTCAAAAAAGATAAAAGAATACTAGCAATAATTCAACAATATGCCAGCAATTTTGAAAACTTAGACAAGAGGTGTTGGCAATATCCGTAGCATGCTGTTCACAGAGGCAGAAGCCTAGAAAGTCTTCGCCTGTCTGTGCGGGTGTGCATTCGCATCGTGGGATTTTCTAAAGAACTCAGGAATTGAACCACTGCGAGATGCCACAGCGTGGATTCCTCTTCGCGGTACAGCAGTAAGTCCCAAAAAGATTATAAATAGTGTGACACCCCTTTTATAAAACAAAACCATATCTATACCATCTAGGAACACATACTGATGCAATAGAACTATATAATTACATAAACACAAGGGGAGAAGAACAAAACACGTGGGCTTCAGGATGGAGATTGGATATTCCTTTTTTTTTTTTTTTTGAGAGATAGGATCTTGCTATGGTGCCCAGGCTGGAGTACAGTGGCCCAATCATAGCTCACTGCAACCTGCAACTCCTGGGCTCAAGCGATCCTCCCATCTAAGCCTCCAGAGTAGCTGGGACTACAGGTGCCACCACAACTGGCGTGCATGGGCATATTATCAAAAATAGATAGATAGATAACTAGATAACTGAATAGATAGAAACTAGTCATGCCGGGCCAATAATGAGAGTAGGTTGACTGGGAAAAAAAGGAAGAGGCAGAAAAGGTTTCAAGTTTGCAATCATCATTATTACTTTTCCCCAAAATCTAGGAGCACTACAGAGCTAATGCTGTTGACCTTGGATCTTTGGCTGAGCTATTTCTGTGGGTCTGTCCCTTTGCTCCCTCCAACTCAACTCATGCAGTTGGCGCCTCTCCCGCCACATGGGAGACACGTGCCAAGCGAGTGGCTGCTGCGGGGAGAGGCTTGGAGGCTGCTGAGATCAGCTCTTCATCCTTACTGGGAAGCGGCAGCGGCTCAGGATTATGCCTCGACCCTCCCTGATACAAAAGTAACTGACAGATGAGGATTTCTAAGATGGCAGGATTAGCCTGAAGGAAAGGGGACCAGGAAAAAGGCCACAGAGAGCTGTTGAAACGTCATTCCAATGTGTCTCAAAGTCTAGGGCCACTCTGTTAGCTGCAGGCCACTAGCTAGGCCAGGCCAAGGTTGGGAGGAGTTTACTGCCCCCCCACCCTTCTGATGGGGTGGAAAGCAAAGGGTGACAGGCAGTGAGGGACAGGTGATGGGACCACACAGTCTAGCCCACTTCCTCGAAGGGATGCAGAAGCTGGGACGGGGCTCCAAGGAGAGTCCAGACACCCACCAGCCCGGGTGGAAACTGAAGGGGGCACAGGGTGCAGGCCCAACCAGGCCCTACCCAACAAGAGGGGTAGAAGTCACCAAAGGACACAGGTGTCCCTGTGTGAGCAGTAGAGTTCAATAGTTAAGAGCTCCAATTCTGGGGCCAGAGTCTAGGCTTGAATCCCTGCTGCTTCCCCAACACGCTGGGTGGCCTTGGGGACATCAACCACATTGGGTCCCAGTTTCCTCAGTCAGTGCCTTTGACACATATTCAGTGAGCACCTGCTACGTGGCAGGCACTAGGGTAAAACATGGGAGAATCAGTGAACAAAACAAGGATTCTTCCCCTGTGGGAGCTTAACTTCCGGCAGAGACAGGCACTAAGCGGTAGCCCTAACAAAGCGGTACCTTGTACAGGCTGTTGTGACTGGAGCAGAGAGAGGGCGGAAGAGAAAGAGGAAGACATGAGGACAGAGAGGCCACAGGGCCCAGATCGTGTAGGCCCTGGAAGCCACTAAAAGGACTTTGATTTTGACTTTGACTCTAGAATTGGAAACCATCACAGAGCTCTGGGCAGATCTGTGACCTAATACAACTTATGTCCTCCAAAGGGTAGACTGGGCTGGGTGACAGAAGCAGGAAGACCTGTTGGAGGCCAGTGCAGTCCTTCAGGGGAGAGATGGTGGTGGCTTGGCCCAGGGTGGTGGCAGTGGAGGTCGTGAGAAGGGCCGGGTGCTGGAGCTATGTTGACGATAAGGCCAAGATAATTTGCTGGGCAATTAGAGGGGCAGTGAGAAAAAGAGGAGTCCAGGAGGGCCATGGGGCTTTTAGCCTGGGCAGCCAGCAGAATGGAGTGGCCTTGACCAACGTGGGGCAGGTCTGAGGGAAGGGTTTGGGAGTCTGATTTGAGGCACATGGCTGTAACATCCAGATAATCGCGGTACCTATCTTAGAGGATGGCTATGAAGATTAAATGTGGTCATATGTGTAAGGTGCTTAGACCAACGCCCAATACATCGCACTCCCTAAGTTAGCATTGCCTAACGTTGTCATCGCCATCCTCATCGTCATGGTCATCTTCATCATCATCATCCTGGGGATGAGGCTGTCACATGGTCACAAGGGCTCAGAGGAAGGTGCTTTTGGTTTGCACTGGTCCCTTGGCATTAAGCTCCTTCTCCACTGCTAAAGGAGGGAGCGGTCCGGGCTGCCGATCGGGACTGGGACCCACGTCGAGGTCCGGCATCCCAGTGGGGAGCCTGACGTGGGTCCCACTGCATCTCCTACTGTCATCACTGTCCTGTCACTCAGTGCTAAGCCCCTGTCAACATAGTTTGGAATCGGGAGCCAGGGGTCTGCTCACCGAGACTCGCGAAGTCTGGCAGCAAACAGCAGAGAAATGGCCACTCATCCTGCATCTGCAAATGAAAAATAGAACATGCATCTGTATGAAACAGCCACAGTGTGGGGTTTTGTTTTTTTCCAGCCTACTGAGGTCTGACTGACAAGTAAAAACGGTAAATATTTAGGGTATACAACGTGATGTTCTGATATATGTATACACTGAAATGATTACCACAATCAAGCTAATTAACACATCCATCACCTCGCACAGTTATGTTTGCGTGTGCTGAGAACACTTGAGCTCCAGTCTCTTAGCATCATTATTCTCTCTCGGTATTGCTCTTCTCTTAGTATTATTCACACTAGCCACAATATGGAAACCTAAGTGTCCATCGGCAGGCGAATGGATAAAGAAAGTGTGGTACATATACACAATGGGATACTATTAATATCAGCCTAACAAAATCAGGACATCCTGCCACAACAGGGATGGCCCTGGAGACATTATATGAAGTGAAATAAACCAGACTCAGAAAAACAGATACTGCATGATCTCACTTCCTTGTGGAGTCTAAACAAGTCAAACTCACAGTCACAGCAGAAGGGGGGTTACCAGGGGCCAGGGGTTGGCGGAAATGCGGACAGGCTCGTCGACTGGTACACACACCTTCACTTACAGACGGGTGACTTCCGGCGATCTAGCATACGGCACTGTGACCGCAGTGAGCAGCGCGCTGGAGCCCCAGCACGGTGTGACTTGGGCACAGAGTTGCCAAATGAATGAGAAAAGCTGCATGCTAACTGCTGGGGATGCGGGCCAACGACTCCCAATCCAAACGGGACACTGGGCGGGCTCTGGGTCAGGAAGCCAGAGTCTGCCAAGGTGGGACAGTCTGTGACCAGGAGTGCCTGTTAGCATGTGCAGAGGCACTGTCCCACCTGCCACAACATCCAGTGGCTCTAGCTGATGGCTCATGGATGATCTGGGGCTGTTTTCTCCCACGTGGACCCTGGAAGAGGAAAGAGCCACACGTAGCGACTCTCTGGGACAACCAAGAGAGGAAACAGCCATGAAGGCACTTCCAAAGGGGACCCAGCCTCCTCTCCCTCCCTAGGGACCTCCCACGCCTCCTGCCGGGGCTGGCCACATTCTCCACTTGGAGGGTCCTTTCTCCATCAGAAAGTGGCAGCATCTGGGTCAAATGGTCACCAGTCCCCAAACTCTGGCTTCCCAAAATGTCCATTCAGAATCCCAAATCTCTCAGCAGTCATTTAAGCCTTGCAATTTTTACAAACACTTCAGAAGTTAGACAACTTCTTTCCTTTGACCATTAAAATGTAAGCAACTGCACTATGAATAGAACAGTCAACTTTCAAATATCTAAATTCAGCTTCATTTTCAAGTGGTCTTCTACTTAGGTATCTGACCATGTTCTTAGCTTTTGAAATCCAGGTTGGAATAGAGTGACTTTTCTGCCAAAGAAAATAAGAAGTCATCAAACATCCGTTGCATATATTCTAGGCACACTCATTTCTCGTGTCTCATTTATTCCTCACACCTCTCTGAGGGGAGGCACTATCGCCCCCTTCCGTGGGCAGGAAACCTGAGGCTTGGAGAGGTTCAGAAGCTGGGCCAGATTCCAGAACCTTCATAGGAGAGGCAGAGCTGCATTTCAAAGCCAGGTCTTGCTCTTTAACATTGTATATCTTCTCCCAGAGTTGGAGGCCAAAGGACTCATACTTTCCACTACTTTTTAAAGCAACTGGCATGCCCCCTTTCTCAGGGCACGAGCGTCCTCGGGCTTCAGCGCTGCATGCCCACACATGCATGGCTGCTCGTGACTGTCCGTGTGCATTCCAGCAACTCTAGCATGTCAGGCGGAGGGTTGCTGTGTTAGACTGCACGTGCTTTGGGAAGAAGCCTGCAAGTGTCACCGGCTCTACAAACAAATTTCAATGACCCCATATGCTTTTTTTTTTTTTTTTTTTGAGACAGAGTCTCGCTTTGTTGCCCAGGCTAGAGTGAGTGCCGTGGCGTCCTAGCTCACAGCAACCTCAAACTCCTGGGCCCGAGCGATCCTTCTGCCTCAGCCTCCCGGGTAGCTGGGACTACAGGCATGCGCCACCATGCCCAGCTAATTTTTTATATATATATCAGTTGGCCAATTAATTTCTTTCCATTTATAGTAGAGACGGGGTCTCGCTCTTGCTCAGGCTGGTTTTGAACTCCTGACCTTGAGCAATCCGCCCGCCTCGGCCTCCCAAGAGCTAGGATTACAGGCGTGAGCCACAGCGCCCGGCCCCCATATGCTTTTGATAATCCTCTCCTTGCCATGTTTTAGAAGCACAGGCTGGCAGAGCATGGTGACCAGAACCCTGAAATTTTTAACTAACCACTTGACCTTTCTGAGTTGTTTCCCAGAAATGGCGAATTGCTGCAAGACGAGGAGCTGAGATTCCGAAGGCCTGTGGGCAGACTTCGTGATGCCAAGACTCACCATCCCCCACAACCTGCCCAACGCATGTAGCCCCTCCTTAAAAAGCCCATACTCTGTTAGTAGGAGAGAAGGATTTAAGCCAGATTCCCCGATCATCACTAGCTCCATAATTGGCTCCTTGTGCTGCGAGCAGCTGGACCTAGGCAAAACCCACTTGCAGTTTTTTTTTTTTTTTTTTAGACAGAGTCTCACTCTGTTGCTCGGGCTAGAGTGCCGTGGTGTCAGCCTAGCTCACAGCAACCTCAAACTCCCAGGCTCAAGCGATCCTCCTGCCTCAGCCTCCCGAGTAGCTGGGACTACAGGCATGTGCCACCATGCCCGGCTGATTTTTTCTATATATTTTTAGCTGCCCAATTAATTTGTTTCTATTTTTAGTAGAGACCAGGTCTCGCTCTTGCTCAGGCTGGTTTCGAACTCCTGACCTTGAGCAATCCTCCTGCCTCGGCCTCCCAGAGTGCTAGGGTTACAGGCATGAGCCACCGCGCCTGGCCCCTTGCGTTTTGATAACATAAGGAAGTGAGAACTGGCAGGGGAAGGAACTGTGGCCACAGGCTGCTCTTGAAGTGTGCCCTGCATGGCGGAGGCAGGGGCTGGGGTTGCACAGGCTGCCCACTGTGACTGCGGGGAGCCTCCTAGGTAGGTGCGTCCCATCAGCCCAGGGCAGCACGCTCGGAAAGGAAACTGCGCGTTGCTCGCATTGCTGGCACTGCCATTCCTAGAAGCTGGGAATGGGAGCAGCAGCCCATAAAGGGGCTTCGGCCTGGCCTCCTCCGGCAGCACCCACTACAACCGGCTACCGCGCCTCTGCTCCGTGCACCACTGCACATTCTCTTTCATCTTCGCTGTGATGTCCCGGGACATGGTTGCAGTTATGCTCATTTTACTGGACAAAAAACAGAGGCCCTGAATGCTCAAGTCATTTGTCCAGAGTTTCACAGCCTCTTGGTGGCAGAGGCGGCATCTGAAGCCAGGTTGTGTGACTTCAAAGTCCCTATAGGGTACCAGAGTTAACAAATAAAAATACAGGACGCTCAGTTAAATCTGGATTTCATGCAAACAAGTACATTTTTAGTACAAACATGTTGCAGATGATATTTGGGGCATGCTTATCCTACACCATTATGCATTGTTTATGTGACATGTAAATTTCACTGGGTGCCCTGTATTTTATCCGGCAACCCTAAGGCGGGTGGGTCGCAAGCTGCCCTCTCCCATGGCTCAGTTCAAACAGAGGCTGGTGGCGGGGATTCCACGCGGTGCCAGACGAGGGAGACAGCATTTTACATTGAAATGTACACTCATGTTTTCATGCTTTGCAGACGGAGAACTACTGTTTCTGTTCGATGAAGAGGATCTAACTGTGGCCACATCTTCACCTTTGTAAAATGGTCCCCTTCCAATGCAGTAACCCAAGGTGTGCTCATGGCAAGCGCATAGCGGATGAGAACTGGGACATTTTCTGTCCGGTGTCGTCAGGTCCTCGCGTGCACGCAACGCCCCGGAGCTTGGCAGGCAGCCTTGGGTTTCCCTCCACCCTCGCTTGAGGGAGCTTTGACTAAATCCTATTTCTTTCTCTCAATCGATCACTCCGGACGCCCACGCTCAGCGCCAGCAAATCCCGACTGTGCAGCAGCTCTGCACGGGGAAGCCCGGGCGACACAGCACGGGGATGGGGGCGGGGGACGTTGAGCTGCGGCACATGGGGCTATTCTGACTTCCTGGAGGAGCCCGGCCCCAGCTGAGGTCCCCTCAAGAGCTGTCCACTGCGCATGATGTGACAAATGGCACCTGCAGAAAACCATCTCCAGTGCCCTCTCCCACTCTCACACAGGGAAGCATCTCAGCTGGCAGCGCCCCCCCCCCCGGAGGGGGGGAGGTGACGCAGAGCGAGGTGTGCTTTGGAGGCTCACTGAGGCAGCAGCGACGCTGGGCTATAATTAAATCAGACTGTGAACATATTGTTCACGGAAACCTTAGCAGAACATGAGTCATGTTGGTTAAGTGAATCACACAGCCTCAGAGTTTCCATTTATATTTGCTTTATTTGGGGCCTTTATATTTTGGCTCAGGATTTCTGTCCCCTCCATTTTTTCTCCCTCTTGGGGACAAAGCCCGAGGTCTGGACATGGCTCAGGGTGGCACAGGACAGCCAGGAAGAAGGAGAGTAGGACTGGGGCTTGGCCAGCACCAGAGACACTCCTCTGCCCCACACCCCTGGGCCACCGGGGTGGGGGGGAGGGGGAATGACAGTAGGGGAAATTGGGCCATTTGACTAGTACTGGTATCTGAAATTGGTTTTTTAAAAAGGAAAATTTGGCAAGAGGGAGGAGGTGGAAACTCCAGGTTAAAATGAAGTTTCGTGATCCTTGTGCAGCTTTTGGCACCTGTCTAGTGCCTGTCGCCTCCCGGGACAGGTACTGGAGAGCACAGAGCAGTGCCACACAGACCCGGGAGCCTGACAGGACTCAGAGCCCTGCTCTCCACCACCTACCGGCAGTCCCGCCTGGGGCAGTGGCTTTAGTATCTCTGTGTCTCAGTCTCTTGCTCTGTAAAATGGGAGTGATAATAGTATTTCC